CCACACTGCGGTCTCCTCAGGAATGCACACTGCCTCCGCCTCCTTCCAGGCCCCTACACTGGCACATTCTTTCTTTACACCGTCAATACCCTTTACTCAGCAGAGGCCTTCCACACTCTAATCAAGGCTCCCGAGGCTATACCTTGATCTCTGGACCAGAAGAAACCTAATCGTCCTGTTCGGTTTTAATTTTCCGTGACAGTCAAGAGGTACAGTAACCTCAGGAAGGTCCTTCCTTGCCTTATCAATCAGGGCGATCAATCCTGAAAAGCCTCCAATGGGGTCAGTGCAAAATGAAAATGTCATCACTATCATTTCAATGGGGAAGTATTTTATATGCTCCCTGAATTCCAAAATTGACACTGTAACATGAAAACTGCATAAACTTCGTTAGACAGACACAATCACATTGATCTCTGGCTATCACAACCTAAAGGTACTTCGCTTTGTTAATTATGATGAAGTTACATTATTACTCTATAATGTGACCATTTCTCCATTATTTCTTTTTACCTTTCATGCTCTGTACCTGTAAGACTAAATTTATAAGGAAACATATGTACAAAAGATATTCAACAGCTATACAATTCAATCTTTTACTTAAAATGAGTAATAAGGGGCCGGAGAGATGTGCAGTGGGTAGGGTGATCGCCTTGCATGCAGCCAACCCACGTTTGATCACGGCACCTCATATGGTCCCCTGAACACAGAGCCAGGAATAAGCTCTGAGCACTGCTGGTATGACTCAAGACAAAAACCCTCAAAGAGTAAACGATGCTCTTATTAGTCACAGAATACAACTTTTTTGGATACTGATGGGACAGATTTAATATTGTAAGAGGTTAAAAAGAAGGGGGCATGAAAATTAGGGAAATTTAACATACATGTGAAGTTTGTCTTAAGATCTGTGTGGGTTTATGAGCTCAAGTGCATCATACAATAAAATTTTGTATTTTGCTGCATAGTGCTACAGACTTGAACACATGTATAAATTTTTGTAACTCACACTAATCAACAAACAGAAGAGTTCTATACCACAGGCTCTACTCCAAACATCTCTCTTTAGGTATCTCTTGGCAGTCAACCCCCCTTACGTTCCCCTTGCAAGCAATGATGTCATCTCTATAACTACAGGGTTTTTTTCCCCTTTTTAATGTAGTACTGCTATTTATTCAGCCACTGATTAGCTGATTGAATTGGGTATGAACTCCACCATAACTACAGTTTTAATCTTCTCAATAGTATAATTTTGACACTAACTTTTTTCACTCCTAAAAATACTATTAACTTCTTTCCTCCTCCTCCTCCTCCCCCTCCTCCTCTTCCCCTCCTCTTCCTTCTCCTTCTATTTGGGGCCACACCTGGAAGTGCCCAGGGCTTACTCCTGGCTCTCTGTTCAGGGATCACTCTCGGTGGTGCTGGGGAGATCTTATGTGGTGCCAGGATCAAACTTGGGTTGGTTGTGTGCAAGACAAGTGCCTTGCCTTAACCTCTGTACTAGCTCTCCAGAGCCTGCAGGACTATTTTTGACAAGTCATGGGAATAACTAGGAGATTACTATGTGTGATAGAGATTATGTGAGGGGAAAATGGTAGCAGATGAAGGCAGAGGGGTGTCCAGAGGTTAAAGATACAGGGCCTTGTAAGCCATGATGATAAAACTGTATTGTTACCAATGAGAGAGAAAACCCACGGAGAATCTGAACAGCAGAATTACTTGATTAGTCTGTAAAAGGATCATTCTAGGAGGAATCACCTGCCTTATGGGGCGGCTCCAAAAAACCCAGCAGAACAAGAATACTCCTTGCTGTGACCATTTGAATGTACTGTCTCCTCTTTCTGGAACATTCTCTCTAGGTATTCATATGGTTTTCTATAATGTCAATTTCAGTTTCTGCATAGGTGTCCCTTATCAATGATTTCTTTTCTAATATTCAGAGTAACAGCTACCTGACTTCACTGTCTAGTTCTCACCTTATTTTGTCCTTTGCTGAATATATTCCTCATGGTGTGTTCATGTACACATATTTTATCTTTCAATCCTAGAAAGATAATTTAGGACAAGGGTAAAGGAGTAACTTGTCTGGCACAGAGTGGATGTTTAATAAGTGATTTTTATTGAATAAATTACATGAGGAAAGAACTGTAGCACTGTCCTACCATTGTTCATCGATTTGCTCGAGCAGGCCCAGTAACGTCTCCATTGCGAGACTTGCTGTTACTGTGTTTGGCATATCGAATATGTCACTGGTAGCTTGCCAGGCTTTGCCGTGTGGACTAGATACTCTCAGTAGCTTGCCGGGCTCTCCGAGAAGGGCAGAAGAATCGAACCTGGGTCGGCCATGTGCATGGCAAACGCCCTACCTGCTGTGCTAAGAAAAAATGGTGATTTCTAGATTTTTAAAAAAAAATTTTTGGGGGGGGGTGGTCACAACCAGATGTGCTCAGGACTTAACTCCTGGCTCTGTGCTTAAGGATTACTCCTGGAGGTGTTTAGGGGACCATATGGGGTGCCAGGGATTAAACCTGGGTTGGCCGTAAGTCAGAAAAACTATCTTTTTCTGTCCTGATTTCTAGATTTTAAAGCAATCTACATTTTCTGCTGGTAAGCAGTGGACAATCAGGGAAAGGGCTGTACAAGGTGTAGGGTTATAGAATTGCATAGATAACGAAGAGCAAGTTACCTAAAAGATGGACAATAAAACTTCAAGCACTGTGAAGACTCCATTCAAGGCTGAAAGTATTAATTTGGTGATGCCAATCTGTTTAATAGGGCAATCTTCTAAGACAAGGCGCAGGCATGGACAAAAATGTGGTTCATCCAGAGCGGAGGATTTAGCTGGGGAAAAGGGTGTGTTTGGAGTAGTCGGAGGAGTAAGGAACTGGGGAGAAAGTTCAAGTGGTAAAGTTCTGGTGGAAGCAGAGGGGAGGGATGCCAGGTAAACAACTTAATTTAACTGGTCTTTTTAAAATGCACTGAAAAGACTTCCAGTCAAAATAGATAATGGAATGGCTGGCAGTGGGAGATAGTAAGCGGTAAAAGGAAGCCCACCACGTAGACAAGCTCTGCTATGCCCAGTGGGGCAATAGGGTACTATATAGACTCACCAGTGAGCACATGGCCAGAGATTAAGGAAATCTAAGGGGACAGGGAGCCAGTGGGGTGGGCTCTAGAGAGGCCCAGGGTCAAATCACAGAACAGCAAGCTCCAGCAAGGGGACACAGATTATAGTGCCCCATCTGCAGATTCTGCAGACCAGGAATGAGTACTGAGCAGAAAACAGGGCCTTGTAACCTGGGTCCGGCATAGGGAACAGGACAAGTGACACTGTACACCCGTTAAAAGGAGACGCCTGGACATTGAGGAGGGATCCCCTCCGGTCATTTTCTTAAACTGTACAATAAACACCTTCTTAAGTTGCTTCTTAAGCACCTGAGTTTTGTATCTAAATCTTTCATACAAACAACTCAAGAACTCTGGAGGGAGGAATAAATCCACTTTTTAGAAAAAATTTTTTTTATTAGTGAATCTCCGTGGGGTACAGCTACAGACTTACAAACTTTTATGCTTGCATTTCAGTCATACAGTGGTCGAGTACCCATCCCTCCACCAGTGCCCATTTTCCACCACCAATGGTCCCAGCATCCCTCCCACCACCCCCGCCCAGTCCCCTCCACCCCACCCTGTCTCTGTGTCAGGGCATTCCCTTTTGTTCTCTTTCTCCTTTTGGGTGCTGGGGTTTGCAGCAGAAGCAGTAAGAATAAATCCACTTTTGTGGTAACAGTACATTACACTCCTCGTAAACCCCGGACCCTGAATTCCATGCCCAGCACTGCTTGGTCCCCCCCACACTGAACCGTTCCCTGGTGATCAAGCCCCTCACTCCCAGTACGTGCAGGTCAGAGTTCCACACCTGGGGTGAGTCTCCCGGGAGGTGGCCCCACATCCTTCCAGCACTGCTGACTGTGACCTCCTACTAGAGAGAGAGAGAGAGAGATGTGTAGTGATGTACCTGTTGCATCTAGGATCTAGGCTAAGGCACTGACGAAAGAGGATTAAGCCGAGGCTTTCGGGAGATTGGAGGTTCTGATAAAGTGAAAGAAGAGTTAATGGTGCCGCTCCCGGGCAGTCAAGATGAAAGGGCAGCTGCGGAGGCTGCAAGGAAACGCGCCCATTGCTGATTGCTGGCGTGATGGGCGTTCCTGCAGAGAAGGTGCAGGTTTAGGTGGGCTGGGAGGCAGGCAGGAGGGCGATCAGACTGGAGGCCCGAGGTCAACCGGGGACGTCCAGCAACTGATCTCAAATAATCGAGAGGCGGGAGAAGACCAGCAGCTAGACGCACAAATGCGCAGGTGGCCTCCACCGAAGCGGCTCGATTCGTGGCCGGGAGGGGCCCCCGCTAAGCGGGAGCTCGGAGCAAGGGGCGCCGCGCCCTGCAGGGTCTCCGCCCGGCGCGGGGTCCGGAGAAAGGCTGGTCTGCGAGCGGAGGAGCAGAAAGCTCCGCCACTGCCTGTCCTCCTTCGTCTACCTGCTCGCACAAGCCGGTTCCGCACCAGCCCCGCCCCCCACCCCGCACCAGAAAACTCGCCGGGCCGCTACCACCCCGTTCGGCTCTTTTCAACTCCCCGCGGAAGTGCTCGCGCCGGAAGTCTCCCGCGTCCCCGCCTTCCCATTGGCCGAGGCCTGGGCCGGCTCCCGCCCGCTTCCGCCCGGGCCCGAGGCGGGCGGGGCCGGCCCCAGGGCACTTCCGCGCGGCCCCGCCCCCTGCGGGCCCTTTTGGGCCGCTTCCGGCCGCAGGCCCCGCCCCGCCCGCTGGGCCCCGCCCACCGCTCCCCGCCCCGGGCCGGCCGCCCGGCGGCCCCGCGGACCCGCTTCCGGTGCGGGCCCCGCCCCGGCTCTGGCCCCGCGGCGGCCGAGGAGTCGGAGACGCGGCGGCGGCGGCGGCGCCCGGGCCTGAGCGGCCGCGCCTCCTGCTCGCCTTCCTCCTCCTCTCACCTGAGCGCGGCGCACAGGTGAGGCGGCGGCGGGGGGCCGGGGCGCCGGCAGGTGGTCCAGGGCCGGGCGCGGGGAGCCGGCGCAGGTGTGGCGCGGCGCGGGCCGGGGGCGGCCGGGAGGAGGTCGCGGAGAAAGGGATGCGGGGCCGGGGCGCGGGGGTGGGGGGCTGGCGCGGGGAGGGGGCTGGGGAGGGAGAGGCGCGGGCGGCGGGGAGCCGGGCCGGGAGGGAGACCCCGCGCCTGCCCGAGGCGTGCACGGCGGCCGGGCACGGGATCGCAGTCGCCGTCGCCGTCGCCGCGCCGGGTTTGGGGGTCCCGGAACTTTCGGGGGGGGCGAAGGGATGAAGCGGGAGCCGTTTCTCCGAAGGGGGACAGGTGGTCTTGTTGTCTGGTCCGGCCGTCCGGGGAGATGGGGGCGGGGGGCGCGGGCGGGGTGGGCAGGGTGTGCGGGTGGCGTTGCGAGCACTGAGTCATCCCGGGCTTTCTGGCCAGGCCGGGCGACACCTCCCCCTCGCAGGGGGCCATCGGACGGTTGCTGGGGGCCTGGCAAGGCTTGGCAGGAGAATGACTGGGTCGGGGATTGTAAGGGACCTCAAAGCGACCCGGTTCTGGTCTCTGTGGCGGGCTGGGGGCGCAGGGGACACACCGGCGGCGGCGCTCCTGGCTCTGTGCACAGGGGTCGCTCCTGGCGGGGCCCGGGGAGCCTTTGCGGGGCGGGGATCCATCCCGGGTCTGCCCCGTGCAAGGCCTTAACCCTAGTGCTCTCTCGCCCTCTTTCCTCCTTCTTCCACCCTCCCTCCCTCTCCCTCCTCCTCCCCCCCCTCTTTCCCTCCCCCCTCTCTCCCTCACTCCCTCTCCCCCTCCCCCTCCCTCTCCCTTTCTCCTCTCCCCTCCCTCTCTCCCTCCCCTTACTCTTTTGTTTACTTTTCCTTAGTCCACATTGGTTTTATTTTAATGGAGCAACTTTTGTTAACCGAATTTAATCTGGGCGGAAATCTTTTCCTGCTTTGTTACAGTGTAAGAAGGGCTAAGGCAGAAAGTATCCCTGCAGGCATTGAACGCATCCTTACTAAAGTGCCAGCGGAGGAAGTAAAGACAATACGAGGCGAATTGGAATTTGAATCTGACACAAAAATCCTAAAGGCAAAAGCAGGTCTTTTGAGATACTGGTCCTGGCGAGCACCCTTTTAGGGGGATGGAACCCAGACGTGTGATCTTCCCCAGGCCACTTCCCAGGACCCCGGTCTAAAATTAACAGAAAGTTGGATTTTTCTTTTTTTTTTTTTTATCTCTTTTTTGGGCACCAGGTGTTGAGTTTACTCCTGGCCCCTGTTCAGGGGTCACTCAGGGTGGGATTTGACTGTATGTGATGCTGGGTCCAAACCCAGTTGGCTGCTTGTGACAGTCACCTTAATAACTGTCCCGTCTTTCCAACAGCTACTTTTTCGCCTAGCTTTGAAATTTTTTTTTCTTTTTTTCTCTAGCCCATTAACAAGCATCATAAAAAACCAAAGTCATTCTTACTAGGACTGTGATTTCTTCTCCATGGATTTTTAAAGACGCTAGAGGCATTGTGTATTTTAAACCTCTTTCCAAAACAGTGGAACAAAGTGAATTATCGAAGTCCTAACCTGGAAAGGGTAGCTTCTTCTTTCTTGTGGTGAAACATTCTCCTTGTCTTCCCTCCACCCCACCCCACCCAGTAGTAATTTTGCATAGTAATTCATTCAGTTATAGACACTTGTTGAGGAAATCACTCGAGGTTTGTTGGGGGTGGGGATCTTGGAGGAAGGGAAAGGGGGTTAGCAGAGGAAAGGGTGTGAAAGGGGTGTGTGTTTGGAGACTGATTTGTAAGAATGCTGAGAAACCTGCCCCCAGTACTTTTGGTCTGAAGCCTTTTCTTTTTGTATTTGTCATAAAATGCCAGTATAGAAGTGAATCAGGAAGAAACGTGGGGTTGTGCATTTGAAAAAAAAAAACCAGCATTAACTTCTTGTTTGAACAATATCGATATCTGTTTTAAATTCATTAACTTGGAAATCTCCAGAGGAATTCCCCGGTTTGTTTTTGAGTGACTGCTGCAATTTGAAACTCTTGTCTCCGCATGTGTTTATTTCTTTCATGTTGTTGAAAGTGGATTCTTTCTGAGACTAGAAAGTCCAGTGAGTGTGGCTTAGCCCACTCAAAATGCAGGCTGGCCACCTGACCGGGAAATTTTGAAAAGTTTAAATCCGAGTGAGTTTGTGCTAGCTTCTGTTCTCCCTTGAGAAAGTCCATTCTGCCTGGAAGCACCAGGTCTTGCTTGGATGCTAATACCGTCCTCGGATGATGGGCCAGGGAACCCTGCCTGTTCTCTCTTTGGCAGGCAGACCCTTCTTTGCTTTTAATTATTGTGGTTTTCATGCGCAGTGACCTTTGTACAGTGCAAGCGGGGTTTGTCTTTTCAGTAATAAACAGATTAATGTTTGGTGATGTTGAGGGAGAGAGATCAGAATGTTTGTCTTCTAGAGTGTCTGCATTGGCCACTTTCACACCCCCCCCAACCCTCGGAGGCCATCCCTGCACTGTTTCCCCTCTCTTAAATCCTCGTCTTCACTCTCTGCCTAAACTGCCTCTGTACCCAAAACTCCCAGCGCTCCCCGTAAAACACCCAAATGTTCTGCATTCACAGCCCCTTGCCCTTCACTGGAGAAAGGAACCCTTATATACCTGTTTTTCTCCCCTCCCCCTTTTCTTTCTCCTCCTTTGTGGTGTTTATTAACCACTTAAGGTGTGGAGCCAGTGTGTCTGCGGGCCGAGCCCGGGTTCTGAGACATGCCAGTTGGTGGGTGCAGCTGGAGGCCGTGATGGAGCCCCTGCAGCAGCAGCAGCCGCCACCGCAGCCGCCGCCTCATCTGACTGCCCTGCAGATGGATGCCAGAGAGAAGCAGGGGAAGCCCATGAGAGACGCCCAGTTCCTGTACGCCCAGAAGCTCGTCACCCAGCAGACTCTCCTCTCCGCGACGCCTGGGAGGCCTTCGGGCAGCTCTGCCCTGGGTCCCTTAGCCAGGGTCCCCACGGCGGCGGCGGTGGCAGCCCGGGTTATGGAACGGAGCACTGTGAACTCGGAGCCCGAGGAGGAGGAGGGAGGGCTGGAAGGGGAGGACGACGGGGAGGATGACGTGGCAGAGGTGTCTGAGAAAGAGGGCCAGGCAGCTGCAAAATATTTTCCTGTGCAGAAAGGGGCTCGCCAAGACCCCAGAGTGGGCCCCCTCTCGGGCTTGCTCCCCGCCCCGGGGCTCCCTCCGCACGGACAGCACGCGAAAGAGGATCGCACCAAAGAGGCTTCCTCGGCCCCACCTTCCGGCCCCGCAGGCGGCCAGCCTGCCTGGAATCTGGATGAGCAGCTCAAGCAGGTCAGTGTTTCTGGGGTGGGTGTGGGGGTCATTTGTTCTGAAGGACTACCGAGGATGGGGTGCTGGACTGCCCGCGGCTCCCCCCCCCATCGCTGTCCAGTAGCCTAGATGAGAGTCACTAAAAGCAGTTAAATGGGAGTAATTAAAGCAATTAAATGTGCAAGCTACACCTAATCTCGGTTGTTCAACGTTTAATGTTAGAGAATGTCACCACAGCCTCTTTCGTTAATTAAAAACAAATGGAATGGGGGGCCCCGGAGAGGCCGTGGATTAAGGCCCATGGCGTGCATGCAGCTGACCCTGGTTCAGGCCTCAGCATCGAATGGTCCCCTAAACCTCTCTACGGCAGAGGCAACAACAAAACCCAAAATGGTTTTCATTGTGCTCAGCCCCCACTTCCCCTCATTGTTGTCCTTGTGATAGCCTTGGCACTTCTGCGGCCTTGGTGTCTGCCAACCCGTGACTGGTACCAGGGTCTCAGACTTCCAGGCCAGGCAGGTGTGGCCACCTGGCCATTCCCCGGCCCCTGCAAGCTTTTGTTTTGTTTTCTGGCAACAGTGTGGTGAGAAATACAGGAAAATGAGATGTGACACTAATTACCGTTTTCCTAATAGTAATAGAAAAGAACAATCTTAAGATAGTTTCTTTGCTCCAGGCTAATGTGGGATCATGCACTGTAGGAATAGTTTGATTTGGCAGTTAAATGTAATTGATGGGGGGGGTTGGGGCTGGGGGTCCGACTGGTTGATGAAAAGTACCCCCATTATGTGTATTTTCCTACTGAGAGAGAGCTTTGGAGCATGATTTCGGTTCACTCCTCCATCACCCCCTTGGAAATGGGGAAGAGTATTTATGTGCCCAATAAAACCCTCCCTTGTTACATTCAGGGAGCATCAGTGACCCTCCGACAAGGCTGAGTATCACTCATCTAGTGAATGGGAAAAAATAAATTCCAGGATCTTAACGAATTATCTTGGGGTAGCACCTGCAGAATTTCTATATCTCCCCCACCCCCCAAACCTTTGACTTCTAGTTCTTTTTCTCTTCCCAGTCTGCAGCACGGCTTTCCCTCGACCACAGAATGGGCAAGCCGTGATAAAAGACTGGGAGTTTATGGTGAAACTGGCAACTGCTGGGTATTCCCATCAGCATTTCGCACGGTCTAATGGTTGATTTAGAAATCATTTGTGAAGAGCTGTGGGATTACAGAGGCGACCGTGATGTTATATAAGAAAGGGCATCTGGAACCTGAAAATCGGGCTTGTCTGTAGTCAAAAGAGCGACATGCAGTGGGTTGGGATTTTACAGTGGCAGCATCTGCAGGCAGTTCCAGGGCCAGGAACGTGGGGTTCAAGTCCCATCTCTTCCATTCATTATTACCCTGGGGATCTTTTGCTAGGGGTTTCTTCATTCCTCTGAGCCCTTGCCATCTCATCTGTGAAATAAAAGTAAATGAAGCCGGGACTGGGGGGTGGCCCAGAGGGCTGAGTGCAGCTTTGCCCTCAGGAGCCTGTGGTCTCTTCAGCACTGCATGGGTTCCCCTGAGTATCATTGGCAGCGGCTCTTAAGCCTTGCGAGATACGCTCCCTCACCCCCTCCCAGCACCCCCCGCTTTAAATAGGGGCTGTGCCTGCACCCAGCGCCAGGCTGGTTTCTGGTGTGCCACATCGTCCCTAGGTGCTGCCTTGGTGTCCCTGGCACTGCAGGGTCAAAGCAGCACCACATCCTCCGGCCCAGGCATTCAGCTCTCTATCCCAGTTGGCTGAGAATTGCCAGGATTGGTCCATGCCCCCCTGAGTCCTGCTTGGGAGCTTCCCCTGGCCTCCCCCACGTGAAGCAGAGCTCCCCACAAGCTTAGGATGATTCACGGAGCTGGCACGATTTGGGTGGCAAGCCCCCGTTGCTCTCTGACACGGTCCGTTTGGCCCCTCGCGCGGTCCATTCAGGCACAGCCACGAGGCTGCTAGCTGCCGGGATGCTCCGGGGAGGCAGCTGGAGAGCGAGGACTTGGCTCGCAGGATCCCGGCTCCGCCAGCAGCAGCCTGGCCCCCAGCCCGGACCCGCCTCCTGGGTGATTGCTTTGGTTTAGGAAAACATCTGTGAGTCGCCGGCAGCCCCCGCACTGCTGTATGGTTGGCAGGGTTCCATGCCGGCCGCTGACTCAGCGCCTGGCGGGATCCCGCCTGACAGCGCTGGGAAAGTTCAGGCCCGAGGCGGCTGGGCTGCCCCCACCTTGGCAGCTGGCCAGCCTCCGCGCGTGTGTGCGGTCGTTCCTAGAAAGTGCAGCCGCGTGCGAGGAACAAGTGGGGCTCCAGAGCCTGTCTGTCTTCAGGAAGTGCAGCAGGTGTTGAGGTCAAGCCGTCAGAGCTCTGAAAGCGGTGACGCTTGAGAACTGGCATGTTGCACGCGCACACGTGTGTGCCGGCGCTGGCACTCGGCACCGGATATGGTGGCGGCAGTCCTGTGGCCTCCCGGCTGGCTGTTGGCTTCTGAAATCCTTGGAGTGCACGTTCGATTTTGGAGACACGCTCCCTAATTATAGACGGCCCGGCAGAGCGCCCGCCAGAGCGTTTCACAAATGACCACGTAGCCGAGGCCTCACGTTGCACCCTTAATGTATCATCTGTCTGAAGTTGGAGTTGCAGAACTGGGTTAGGGGGTCACTGGGCAATAGTGACCCGAAGCGTTTGGTGAGGAGATGTAGTCCAGTGGCTAGGGCATGTGTTTTGTGGCCGTCCCAGTTTAGCTCCCTGGCCCGTGTGATCTCCCAGACATCACTGGGTGCAGCCCTGAGGACCGTTAAGCATTGCCAAAAGCCCCCTTTACTGCCAGGATAGCTCAGGCAGCATTATATCCGAGAGCTTGGCCCTGAACCCCCAGTTCCGTGAGCCAAGTACCAGGAATAGTACCCGCACCCTGTTAACAACACTTAGGAGATGAAAATAAAAACCCAGAACCTCAAAAGATGCACCTCATTTTTCTTTGGAATATGAATTTATATTTGCTTTTGGGCCACACCTGGCAGTCCTGGCTCTGCGCTCAGGGATCAAATCCGGGTCAGCTATGCAAGGCCAATTCCTCACCCTCTGTAATAGAGCTTAGTTGAATCTGTGGGATTTAATTTTTAAAGTCAGTAAGGTCTTTGTCTCCGTTGAACAGTCTTTGCAGTTTTTTTTTTTTTGAAGTAAAACATTTTATTGGGAGAATTTGAAGGGAAGGAAGAAGAGAAAGTGGGAGTGGAGAATATCGTGCTCAAGAGAGAATCCGGGGAGGCTGGAGTGATAGCACAGTGGGTAGGGTGTTTGCCTTGCACGCAACCGACCCGGGTTCGATTCCCAGCATCCCATATAGTCCCCTAAGCACCGCCAGGAGTTACTCCTGAGTGCAGAGCCAGGTGTGCATCACCGGGTGCGACCCAAGAGAGAGAGAGAGAGAGAACTTGGGCTTCTCCATGGTCGGAGAGAGCCCCTACACACATCCCAGCATTAGATAGGAAAGCACGAAAGTACACATCTCAAGAGGGGAGATGCGGGCGCCACATGGGCGCCACTTGGGCTCGGGCGGCATATGCGCTGCAGTTTGTTTGTATTTGGGGTCCATACTCAGAGGTGCTCAGGGGTTACTCCCAAGTCAGTACTCCAGGGCCTTGGGTGCCCGATTTTGAACCTGGACCTCCTGCACCAAAGCATGTGCCTCCGCCCCTTGAGCTCTCTCTCACCCCTGATTGGTCCTGCTTTTAATGGAATAAATAATACAAATCTTTAGAGATTTCAGAAACTTTCTAGTTCTGCTTTGGAGGTGAGGGACAAACAGTATCTATAGGGAGAGCTTTTAGAAGTCAACACAACCCAGCAGACTAGCTTTATTGTTTGTTTGTTTGAGGCCTTTTGTTTTTTTAAACAGCTAACTTCTGGGGAGCAGAAATAGATGGCTGATTGTTCCAGCATCAGTGTCGGAGATCTTTTGCAGTTGCCACAAAATGATCTTGGTGTTAACGTGTTAGATTGTCCGTTTTCTTCACTTATGCAGCAGGCTTTTACAGAGGCTTCTTGGGCTGGGCCTGACTCCCTGAGCCGAGTCGGGAAGACTGTGTCGTAGGTGCAGTGGTTTTCTTTGGTCCTGAGTCAGCTCAGGCCCAGCTGCTCAGCCCAAGAAGCCTCTTTGGTTTGGGGGCGATCCCCGGCAATGCCCAGGGGTTACTCCTGGCTCTATGGTCAGGGGGCCATATGAGATGCCAGGGACTGGGATCAACTCCAGGTTGACCATGTGCAAAGCAAACCCGCTGTAATTTTGCTCTGGCTTCTGGCTATTTTAAAGCAAGTTTCTGTTCAAACATGCACACACTAAAATAAAAGGTTTTCTTTTCTTGAGGGTGCTGCTGAGAGGACAGCATGTGGTGCCAAGGATTGAGTCTAGGTTAGCTGCATCTGAGGCAAGCACCCTGCCCACCATACTATCACTCTGGCCTATAAAACGTTTTTGTAGCAATAGTATTTCGCAAGATTTGGGGGCAGGGGTTGCAGGAATCTGATAAGGGAAAAGCAAAACTTATTTGAGGCCTTCAGTGATTATCTTTGGTTCCTGACATCTCATTCTTTGACCCTACAAAGTAAAAATAATTTCAGGGCTTCTTGTTAAAGAAACTCTTATGAAATAATTGTTTCTTAGGGCTTGGGTTCGAAGAAAGAGGGGGTGTTCTCTGACACCAGAGTGTTGGGAAGACCGATAGAGCTATCGAGCCAAGTCTTCTAAAAAGCCCATCAGATTTCACTTGGGCAGAGTAAATAGTTGTAAAGGAGGTCAGCAGACAAAGAGCCAAGTGTCCCTTCTCTCAAGGGAGATTGGGAGGGCCCTGTTCGCGTACCACCAAGTGGGGGCTGCTGCTGGCCCAGAGGAGTGGTCATCTGCCCTCCTGAGAGTCCTGTGCAGACTGTACGGGCTTTGTCTTTCTTGAGCCCCTTGTTGGAGCCAGGCTCCCAGAAGCGCAGCAGCCCCCCTTG